TTTCCTATTTTGATGACATGCATAGATTTTATAGAATTTTTGAAAAATATTCATTACATCTTGATACTATGTCAAAGGATATTTTGTTACCATTATTCCTTTATTTTTATTAATGTCTTTATTCGTATGTATTTGCATTACACAATGATTGCACAGATCCGAGAGGGCTTTTACATGTACATAACAGAAACCAAAATACAAAGAGCAAAACAAAGGAGAGGTAACAGGAATAGAAGATCTTTTTCAAAGTGACCTTGGTATCCTTTACCGTAGTGGGTTTTGAGTCCTTTGAATGCTGCAAATGATCATGTGATAGGTGGTTTAAATTTTGACCCAGTTATGCAACTAATCCCTCCATAGCGTCTGTTGCCCCATGAGTACTCAACGCAATTGTTGTATTAACAGTTCCAATGCATCGAGTGCTATGAATAACTTAGAAATGCATTGGGTACAGTGTGACTGTGAGTTGCATTTTCCAGTGAACCTCTTCCTCTACAGAGTGCTGGGAAGGCTGGCACTTTGTCTTTGTGCTGTTAGGAGCAGGATCCAGGGCCTTTCACGTGTTAGACATGTGATCTACTGCTGAGCTGAACCCCAGCTGACAAGGTGACAGGCTGAGGGTGACCACTCTCTCGGTGACAATGTAACACATCAAGAAGATATCTTTAATGAACTCCTGAAATTTCCTATACATACACACAAGAAGATAAAAATAAAATTGTTTTGCATAAATCAGTCCTGTAGATTTAAAGCAATCCTGTGGGTTGAATACACTTGCATTTAAAATTGTTTGCTTCCCACACTGGGAGCCGCCATCGCTCAGGCCCAAGGAGGGCTGCCTGAGCCCTGAACCACCACAGGAAGGATAGCCACGCCTTCCCCCACCGGGAGCCACCAGCACTCCAGCACCAGGAAGGTAGCTGCGGGGGCGCCCCTGAACACCCCCCCCACATTCTCAGACCTCCTGATTGAGCCAGTCTTTGGACCCACTCTGCAGAGGCAGAGGTGGTCATAGAGGGGCATTTTCTGAGTTCCCAAAGTTGAATGTCTTTAAAGAAAGTGCATGGGAAACCTATAGTAGAACAGTGTGGAGTTCAACCGTTCAGAAGGTTGGGGAACTCAATCTGGGCCTTGCAGCCTGAGGTCAGTCTGTGACATGGGGTTCAGTGTGGGAGCCCAGCCGTGGCCCTCTAGGAGTTTGATATTTAAAAGGAAACTTCTTCACCTCTACACTCAAGGCATTGATACAATCTGTAACATTCTAGGACTCTGCTTGTTAAACTTGTTGCTGCAAAAGAAGAAACTCAAAGAGACAGCCATAGATCTGATGTTATCAGTAAGAGTCAGGAAATTCGGTCTATGAAAAACAATGATTTGGTGTTTTTTGTTGTTGTGTGCCCTTAAAAGCTTCCTGTTGCTGTGAACCTATAAAAGGAGCTGTTTCTGTGAAATAAACCAGACTTCTCTTCGTCTCCGCTCAGGTTTGAGTGTTCTTTCCTTTCTCAATCCTCACTCCCCGACTCAGGCATGTTAGTGTTGTGACGGCTGGACCGCCACAGTTCAGCCATCAGCTAACTGAGATCAGGGGTCTTGAGTCCTAGCATTGTCTGAGCCCCCATCCTAAATGGTAAATATACTATATTGAAATTTTGTTCACTGCAGACATGATCTGGACTGCTTCTTGATTTCAATTTAATTCAAATGATTTAAGGCTGATAGACTAGTGACTACCACAGGTAGTCACTTTCCAAGTTTTGCTTGATCATATTGTGTTGCTGGTTGTGATAAAGGATTGTGGTTCATTCTATAAGTGGTTTTCTCTGATGTTATGGAGATGAAAATATCTGTGGGTCATTAGAGACCCAGAAGCTAGGGTGCAACTCTATCAGGAAGATTTGGGTGATAACCCAGAGATTAAACCAAGGACACATGGACAACAAAAATAAAAATAAGAAAACAGCTAAGTAAGAAAGAAAGACAGACTTCCAGTTCACCCATGGCAAACAGTAGGACAAATGAGGATGGAAAGGCCAATAGTGAACCACCAGAACTTCCTGAACTCAAGGCACAGGAAGTAACAAAACAGATCAATCAGGCTCTAGGAAAATTCAAAACAGAAATAATTTCCCAGATAACTATAGAGATGGAAGTGACTGTAGTAGCTTTATCAGAGCTATTTTTAATGATGCTACTCTAGAATGTTCTCTCTCCAGATGATGATCAAGACGCTAATAAAAAAAAATGGTGCCAGGTACCACAACAGCAAAAGAACTTTGCTTTTTTCTGGGTATTATTCTTTTCTTTGTTTTATTTTTTTGTTTTTTTAATGGAGTGTGCTGAATGTATAATTTTGTTCAGATAACGGCAGAACTCGGAGAAGCTGTTAATGCATAATGCACTGCTATTATTGGTCTTTATATATAAATCTAAATAAATAAATATATATATATACATATATATATGTATAATTTGAATTTTTGGAAAGTTTAACTGTGCTGTTGACTTTGCAAAAATTTCTCTCAATTTACTGTGTTGAGTTGGCATTGTACAGAAATTAACAGCCATATTGGTCTAAAAAGTTAATTTTTTTCCATTTCTACAGGGGTAATGCACTGTATTAAATATGTGAGGTCATATCTACGTGGATTTGATTACAAGAACTAATAATGTATTCTCTAAAAAATGAAAAGAAGAGAATAATATAAGACGACAAGAGCAAGAAGAAATTAAATATGTTCAAGGACCATTTTCATCTGCAGAATTAAGGATGATTTTAATTTTACAACATTGTCTTTTCTCTTTTACTTTCCTTTTTAGATTCATTTTAGATTCCCTATGTGTCATATTCATATAGAGATTTCTTTAAATGAAATACCGAGTAGTTTCTCTGGTGTGAAAAACTATAATAGTATACAAGACCCTAATGAGATAATTAATAATGTGAAATAGGAAGTAAATGGTTGAAGGTGTAGGGAAAGTGGGAAGGGTGGGGGAAAGATAATAAGAGAGGGCAAAAAAATATGAGAAAAACAAAAAATGGAACTAAAGTGTTTGTAAATGGGGAAGGGAGGAGGGGGTGAAGAGATGGCAGGGACAGGGGAAAACATGAGAATCAAAACCCGTCATGTAAAGGTACAGGATCCCAATAATGAGTGTAATTGTACTGTATATCTAGATTGTACCAATAAACTCTATACAAATTTAACAAAAAATTATTTGCCACGATTTTAACATTGTAGGAAAGTGGAGGTCATGATGTTAATGACAGTGCGCTCAAGACTGAATGTTTTCCCTTTCACAGCCCTCTCCAGGGCGGCTCAGCTAACCCCGGCCCGTCCTCAATTCCCTGGCTGCAAGGATCTCATGATATGTATCTTCTTTCATGCGGTATTTCCGCCACTTTCTCAATCATGTGAGGATTTCTCCCTAAAATCTTGAATTCATAAAATCTGCCACAGTGTTGTTATATTTTTACTCATTAATTGCCTCTATTATGATTTTTTTTGCATAGTAACTTTTTTTCATAAAATATAAATCAGTCAATTTTTTACCTCATAGCCAAAAATTCTATAGGAAAGCGAAGTTGAAGTTGATAATAAAAAATCGATAAATCCACAATTGGAAATAAATTCATGATCCCTGACTCATAAAAATAGTAATTTTAGTTGAGCTAGGGCGGGTGATCAAGGACTGGGCTCCAGGTTGGAAGCCAGGCTCAGCCTGAGTCACACAGGCTGGAAATGCACATTGGTGCCTGTTCTCAGTGGCTGCAGAGGTCTGAGTTCAGCACCAACGTGGGTGCAGAGTGCCACTATGTTTCTGTTCCTGCAGGAGAGGAGAAGCTGGCTGCCCTCCCCTTCGTCCTCTGCTCCCTGCTCTCACTGGCTCTGGGAACAGTCTGCGATTGCAGTCCCCCCTGGCCCACCTCTGTCCAGTGAGCCCTGTCTGTGACTGAAAAGAACACACGGGCAGCTCTAAGAACTTTGCCTCTCAGGGTTGATTTACCTACTAGGAATAAGACGGTAGGGGTTAATGAGAAAATCATCAGTTCACCTAAAATCAGGAGAAAGGGAAAAAGATCTTTGGGAACATGAAATATTGACATGTATATAGTTGATATGTTTTATATCAATATCTTACTGCAAAAGAAATTTTAATATTTGAAAAAAAATTATGGCACACATATGCATAGCTGTGATGGCCATAGCAATTACAATATAATCATGAAAATATCATGGAATTTCTGCACATCAGTATAAATAAACACAAAGTAGGATCATATGTGTCTACCATGAGTCAGCCTCTTTTTCTTACAAAAGGAAACATGATATACATATTTATATATACATCAAACCTTTATAATTGTTGTATTGCCTTCACAATATTACATCTTGTCAGGCTGCATGATTTAATTCCCATCAGTTTTGGATGTTCCTATATTCCTAGCTGATTTGCACTCCCGTGTTTCTATAATGAGGTAGTGGGTAGATCTCTGGTGCATGAGGCTGTACTGCCCGGATGTGCGCTCTTTGATTAAAACCAGAGAACTCTGAGAAGTGAAATGACTGGGTTCGAATCTCTCTGTAGATCACTGTCGTATCTATTATCACACAACCTTCTGGAAACATAACAATGGACCATGTCGCCACCCACGCGGGAGAGTAATTTATCCTTCATCTCAGATCACACCGCTGGGTTAAATGTCGCGCAAACGGTATCATGATGAAAACGGCATCTCTTATATTGTTAGTGTCCTTTATTATATTTTAATGTATTATTTTAAGGGTATTTTATTTTATTGGATTTCCTTTTTCATTTTTATCTTGCTTTTGGTATTTTCACTTTTTAAAGTATTTTACATATTTAGTCGATGCTGCTCTGCACAGCCAAAGACAAAGAGCAGCAAGGTTGCCCAGTGTTTATTTATCACAAGCATGGATAGAAGGTGAGCAGGATGTGATTTGAAAACATATAGGGATACAGTGCTGCAACCTGGCGTGATGGCGCTGAGTAAGGCTGGAGGAAGGGAGGAGCCACTGCTTATCCTGCTTGGAGAGCACGAACGGACTGGGACTGGGTCACAATTCACCAGCCACCCATTGGGCCAGTGAGAAACCGTAATTCACGGGGAGAGATTTGAACTCAGGCCACGCTGACCTTAGCTTCAAATCACTCAGCAGAGCCCTGCCTCTTCACAGACCAGGACTTAGGTCTCCTTGGCCGTCACCCAGTGTACCATCTATCACAAATATTTGAGCCTCATAGGGCTTCAATCTGACTCCTAATATAAAACAATATAGCTGAATTATGGAAAGCAAGAAGCATGTACCACTTATAACCTCCTAGTACTGGACAGGGACGTCTGCTACAGGTTATGTACTGATATATATTTACACTACAGAATGATTGAACCAAGCAAAGTAACTTACCCATCACCTCTCAACTCTCCACATGGACGAATGTGCGGGGAGATTCTGTTAAGTTACATTCAAATAACAAAATTGAGGAAATATCCTTCTCATAAACTAATGCATTCAACAAGAAACAGATGCATGTAGGTATCAAATGCTGTATATGACTGGACTAAATATATTGCTTTTCTCTTTGCAGAAATGAGAATTTTAAAGATCATCAAATTAATGACCTATATAAGATAATGATTTGTGTAAATTTTCTAAGGTATTTATAAAAAGCTCATGTTAACTTCATAAAAAACACTTTGATTTTTTTTAAATTTATTGAGTTTATTGGTACATTTTAGGGATACAGTACAGTTACATTCATTGTTGGGATCATGTACCTCTACATGGCAAGTCTTGATTCTCATTTTTCCCCTTACTTCTGCCCTCCCTTCACCCCCTCCTCCCCTCCCCATCTACAAACACTTTATTATCATCTTTTCATTCTCTCACATTTTTTTCTTTTCCCTTTTTGTTCTTCCCCTACACATCACACCTTCCGTACACCTTTAGCTCCTTTCTTCAAATTTCTAAATGTCAGTAATCTTATTAGAATCTTATGCATTGTTGCAGAATATTCACACCAGGGAAACTATTCGGTATTTACACATGTGTGACTTATTTATTTCACTTAGGAGTATATCTTCAATAGGTATCCATTTTCCTATGAATGAATCTATTCTCTCGCTCTTTATGGCTGAGTAATATTCCATTTTATAGAAAAACCACAACTTCTTTATCCAGTTTCCAACGGATGGGCAAATAGGCTGTTTCCAAGATTTAGCTATTACAAACTGTGCCTCTATAAACATGGCTGCACATACTTCTCTGTGATATGATTCTTTTAGTTCTCTTGGAAAGATACCCAGCAGAGGGATGGCTGGGTCAAATGGAACTTCCAGTCCAAGCTCTTTGAGGTATCTCCATATTGATTTCCATAGTGGTTGCACCAGTCTGCACTCCCACTAACAATGGAGAAGGGTTCCTTTCTCCCCACAACCCCGCCAACATTTGTTATTGTGTGATTTCTTGATAGCAGCCATTCTTTGTGGGGTGAGGTGGAATTTCAGTGTTGTTTTCATCTGCATCTCTCAAATGACCAGTGATGTGGAACATTTTTTCATATATTTTCTTGCTGCTTTTACTTCTTTGTCTGAAAAATGTCTGTTCATTTCGGATGCCCATTTTTGAATCGGGTCTTTATATTTGGGGGGACTGATTGTATTGAGTTCTTTATATATCCTTGATAATAGTCCTTTGTCTGAGGTACAGCTGGTAAAAATTTTTTCCCACATTATAGATTGTCTCTTAGTTCTGCTGATGGTTTCTTTTGAAGTACAGAAGCGTTTTAGTAAGATGAGATCCCAGTTGTTGATTCTATCTGCTAGTTCCCGTGCTACTGAGGATTTGTTCATAAAGTCTTTTCCTATACCAATGTCTTCCAGAGTTCTGCCTAACTTACCTTCCAGCAAGTTTAATGTTTCTGTTTTAATATTTAGATCTTTAATCCATTTGGATTTTAATTTAGTGCATGGCAAAAGATAAGGGTCTAATTTTAATCTGTGGCAGGTTGACATCCAGTTTTTCCAACACCATTTATTAAAGAGGCTATCTTTCCTCCAGTGGGGACGGTCAGCTCCTTTGTCAAAGATGAGGTAGCTGAGTACATCTGCATTTGTTTTTGTGTCTTCCAGTCTGTTCCACTGATCCTCAGGCCTATTTCTTTGCCAGTACCACGCTGTTTTTATCACAGTGGCTTTGTAGTATAGAAAAACACTTTGATTTTGTTTTCTATATTTCATTTTCTCTAAGAAACATCTAGCAAGAGAGATTTTTGGAGTACTGGAGGTTGAATTCAGCCTTCCCACTGAACGACATCCCCAGACTTTTTATATATTTTGGTTTGAGACAGGTGCTTGCTAAGTCATTAAGCTGTACTGGCTGCCCTCCTCTTCCTCCGCCTCCCTGACAGCTGGGATTATAGTTGTGCATCAATATGCCCAGCTTCTAGTCTTATGTTTCTGATGCAACGTGCTAAGCATAAAACACGAAAAATGCATCTCCATTCATAATGGCATAGAGGTTTAAATTATCACAGATAAGTACTAATTGAGTTATATATATATATATGATAATATTTTAATATAGCTTCAGAAGTTAAAAAAATGAAAGTGAAATTTCTGTTGATTAAGTGGAGAAGTAATACAAACCAAAAATATATGGCATTATATTGTGGGATTTCAAGGTTCCTGTTCTCAAAGACATATTTGTTAAGATTTGTGTATTAATAAGATACTTACAAAGTAAATTGGTAAGTCTAATTTAGTAAATGCATATAGAGAGCTCTACATAACAACTGAGAATGTACATTCTGGGCTTGAGACACAGGTCAGAAAGAGAGCACTTTCTGAGTTTGTGGGGGGCCCAGCTTTTGATATATGCCACTGCATAATCAGGGGGAAAATATCTGTTTCTCTCACTCACTCACAGGAAGAATTTACAAGATGCAAACATCAATTAAACTCTGGATTAAGAATCAACACATAAGTGCCAGGAGTTTAGCTCAGTGGTTCTGCTGCCTGCCTCACAAGTGCAAAGACCCAAGTTCAATCCCCAGTACAAAAAAAATCTTAAAAAAAACAAGACTCAACACATAGCAGAAGAAAGTAGTGTATTTTATTCTTGTTGAATTTTCAGATATCAGGAAATAAAAATGTAAGAACTCATTATTGGCATGGAGCCTCTTTGTTCTCCAAACTTTAGGAAAGGTGAAGAGAATAAGGCTATTTGGAAAAAGCACTGCTAAAATGTTAATTTTTCTTTGCAACTTTTAAAAAAAATGTTTGCTAATCTTCAATATTCCAATGCTATGTTTTTAGGTTCCTAAGACTTTCCAGTCCTGACAACACTTTCTATTTCTTTCAATTTGTCTCTTTATTTTCATGATTTCTGCTCCCTCCTGGACTTTGTAGTTGATGTAAGTTTCCTGGATTGTATTGGTGGCAGATGCATGACTAGGAGGGGCTGAGTTTTGGGCGATTTCATTTCAGACATTGTGCAGCACCACAATCATCCCATAGATGTCATGTTTTCTGCTTGCCACAGAGATTTGATTTCGAATTATTCTTTCCCTTCACTGGCATTTCTGAATTCACGTGGATATCCTTGCTGTGACATGAAGCATTTAGTGGTGCGTAACATGGGCTATTATTTTACTTCTTTTTTGAAATTGAGTTTATTGGTACATTTTAGGTATAAAGTACAGTTAACATTCATCATGGGGATCTTGTACCTCTACATGACAGGCCTTGGTTCTCATTTTTCCCCTTGTCCCTTCCCTGCCTTCACCCACTCCTCCCCTCCACATTTACACACACTTTTTCCCCATATTTTCATTTTCTCACATTTTTCTTTTCCCTTATTACCCTTGCCCTACACATCCCACCTTCCCTACACCTTTAGCCCCTTTCTTCCCATTTCACAATGTCAGTTATCTCATTAGGATCTTATGTACTATGACAGTTTATTTACACCAGAGAAACTATTCGGTATATTTTACTTCTTGATACATAGGTCCATTAACAAAACCCCACTGTGAATGGAATCTGTTTTTTATACTTTTTAAAATTTGCACTACTATCTGTTTGTGATACATAATATATACATTCATTGCAGGAATTGGAAGATAGATATATAGATACATAGATAGATACATAGATACACATATAGATAGAGGTGATACACACCTCACACCTTCCTTTCTATTTCCCCTCCCCTCACCTCCTTCCCATCTCCTTCCATTTTCAGATCTTCTTCTCAATGCCACAAACTCTGTCACCCTATTTCCTGTCATCCTTTATTTGGCTCTATAAATTTACACGTTGGTTTTCTCACATAAGCCATGAGATACTTGTGTGGAAGTTAGTAAAGTCCTCTAGAATAACAGTTATGTTACATGTTTTCAATTTCTAAAACGCTATGGGGGCTAGTTCATGTTAAAAAATAGATTAGATTTCATGATTGTTTATCATCTAGTCAAAATGTCATCTTAGATCAGACCACTATATGAAAATGTACAACCAACTCCCTGTCTAAACAAAAATAATGTTTAGCCATTGTATAGGCTGAGATTAAGACAGCAGTTACTTCCTAGTTTCTTGATGACCATCTGGTCAGACTGTCCTCACAGAGCAGTTATGAAGATGCTATTGATGGTTTTCAGAACACTAACATCATTCATGAGAAATCCACCATCATGACTTTCTAACATCCAATTTCTAATACCTCATTCAGATATAGGTGTATATGCGATTATGATAGAGAAGCACGAACATGATGTGGTTTTATTTGTGTGATATCATCTCGTAAATGATAACTGCACTGCGTTGCAAAATAATTACACGTTGGGCCTTTTCCATAAAGAACATTGTGTCTTCCATACAGGCTTGTGCCTAACAACTACCAGACTGTTCTAGCCTTCATTTTTACCATAGAAAAGATCAACAGGAATCCTCATCTTTTACCCAACCTGTCTCTGGGATATGAGTCCCATAATTTCCTTTACAGTCACTGGAGGATACCGGAGAGTACCCTCATTTTACTCACAGGACAGGATGAAATCCCAAACTACACCTGTAGAAGAGAGACCAAGTCTCTTGCAGTGGTAACAGGAATCTCGTGGGGGACATCTCCTCAAATTGGACCACTGCTGGAACTCTACAAATTTCCTCAGGTGAGGGTGGATGAGATTGGAACAATAACAGTATGTCTTAGTTGGTGCCATTTTCCAGTGGCTTTGATGGGTTTAAACAAAAAGACTCAGTGTTGTGGTTTATGTCTGCCTGAACCCCAAAGCCTCTTGCAGTCATAGGACCACTGCAGAGGTACCCAAATCTAGAGTGTGTCACCCTGAGGTTAAGGGCATGTGATTACTAAATCAGTCCATTGATTGGTTTCACACTGCCCTCATCCCTGCAGTATTGAAAAGATAAAAGGGGCAGAAAGATGCTGTCAAGCTCCCTTGTTGCTTTTGCAATCTTGTGGCTGCCATGGGCTGTTCTCTGTAAAGCCTGATGCCGTGGCACCCTGCCTTGGAGCCAACCAGTTATGGACTGCAACCTCTACAAACGGAGCTAAACAAACCTTTCCTCTGATTTTGTCTCAGAAACAAGTACCTCAGAATTTGGTACAGAAGTGGGATCATTGCTGTGATGTTACCTGGCCGCATAACTCAAGAGCCTCTGGAAAGGGCTTGTGGAAAGGGAAGAGTTAGGAAAGATTCAGAGATACTGGATGAAAAAGTAGAGCTGGAATGCCTTAGCCTGTACCATATGGGACGTTGTGATCAGAGCTCAGAAGACCAGGAACCTGGTAAAGACCAGGCTCTGGAAGTTTCTGGTGGAAAGAATTGCATTGGCTGTTAGCCTCCAGATGATGTGTGTTATGGCTTGTCAGAAAGTTTGCCTGCATTTTGCTCATGCTCAGATACTTTGCCTGAGACTGAGATTAAGAGCAAAGGACTAATTAATCCGGCAGAAGAAATTTCCAGGCAGTCTAATGCTGATGCTGTGGCATGGTTACCGTCAGGAGCTATTAGCCATATTTATGTTGATAGTCAAGAGCAAAGAGACCAGCAAAATAATTTCAAATGTTGGTCAGAAAGAAAGCTCCGGTAATGATGTTGCCTGGAAAGGTAGAACAGAGATCTCAATTGTTGAGATGGAACAGGACAATAGAAAAATGGCCCGGGGTCATCCCAAAAAGCAACAGAACTGCCCCCTTTGCAGCCTGAAAATTTTATTGTTTTTCTCTCATTGTTTATTGGTACATTTCAGGTATACAGTACAGTTACATTCATCACTGGGATCTTGTAACTTTACTTGACAGGTCTTGGTTCTCACTTTTCCCCCTTGTCCCTGCCCTCCCTTCACCCCCTCCTGCCTCCACATTTACAAACACTTTATTTCTATGTTTTCATTTTCTCATGTTTCTTTCTCTTCCCTTATTACCTTTCCGCTACCCTTCCCACTTTCCCTACACCTTTAGCCCATTTCTTCATATTTCACATTGTCAATTATCTCATTAGGATCTTATTACTATTATAGTTTTTGCACCAGAGAAACTATTCAGTATTTGTACATGTGTGACTTATTTCACTTAGGAGTATATCCTCAATATGTATCCATTTTCCTATGAATGAATCTAATTTCTCTTTCTTTATGGCTGAGTAGTATTCCATTTTATAGAAAAACCACATCTTCTTTATCCAGTTTCCAACTGATGGGCAAATAGGCTGTTTCCAGGTTTTAGCTGTAACGAACTGTGCTGCTACAAACATAGGTGTGCATATGTCACTGTGATATGATTCTTTTAGTTATTTTGGAAAGATACCCAGCAGAGGGATGGCTGGGTCAAATGGAGCCTCCAGTCCCAGGTCTTTGAGGTATCCACACATGGATTTCCACAGTGGTTGCACCATTCTGAACTCCCACCAACAATGGAGAAGGGTTCCTTTCTCCCCACAGCCCCACCAACATTTGTTATTGAGTGATTTCTTGATAGCAGCCATTCTTTGTGGGGTGAGTTGGAATCTCACTGTTGTTTCCATCTGCATCTCTCCAATGACCAGTGATGTGGAACATTTTTTCATATATGTACTTGCTGCTTTTACTTCTTTGTCTGAGAAATGTCTGTTCATTTCAGATGCCCATTTTTGAATTGGGTCTTTATATTTGGGGGGATGATTGTTTTGAGTTCTTTTTATATTCTAGATAATACACCTTTGTCTGAGAAGCAGCTGGTAAAATTTTTTTCCCACATTGTAGGTTGTCTCTTAGTTCTGTTGATGGTTTCTTTTGCAGTGCAGAAGCTTTTCAATAAGATGAGATCCCAGTTGTTGATTCTTTCTGCTAGTTCCCATGCTACTGAGGACTTGTTCATGAAATCTTTTCCTATGCCAATGTCTTCAAGAGTTCTGCCTAACTTATCTTCCAGCAAGTTCAGTGTTTCTGTTTTAATATGTAGATCTTTAATCCACTTGGATTTTAATTTAGTGCATGATGAAAGATAAGCCTAGTTTTGATCTTTGACAGTTGAGATCCAGTTTTTCCAACACCATTTATTAAAGAGGCTATTTTTCCTCCATTGGGGATGGTCAGCTCCTTTGTCAAAGATGACATAGCTGAGTATATCTGCAGTTGTTTTTGTGTCTTCCCATCTGTTCCACTGATTCTCAGGTCTGTTTCTATGCCAGTACCATGCTGTTTTTATCAGTGTGCAGCCTCAAAATTTAAAACATGAATGACATTTCTTGGGGACGTGAGCCCCAGAGCACCATGTTCCACAATGCCAGCTGCATGAGGAAGTTGTTCCTCAGGAGGTTCATGGGGTCTCCATATCCCAAAGAGAAGGAAGCCTGGCTACTGCCCCAGGTGGCAATGAACCTTAGCTTCATCCACATGGTGCCAGTGTCAGGAGCATGTGGAATGCATGAGTTTTGGTGTCAGGAAGTCTTCCACCCAGGTCTCAGAAGAAAACCCGGGAGGCCAAGTAGCATGCTCCTGAGAAGGAAGCCAAGTCTGGAAAAGCCAGGAATGCGGGTCATCTGAGGAAAGTGCAAAGAGAGAGTAGAGCCAGCCCAGGAAAGAAGCCATGGCAGCTACCACCATGAGAAGTGCCACGGGGGGGGGGAGCTCCTGAAGCCCTTTGGAGTTCACAGTTGGCCACAAGTTGCCTCGGATGCTGGAAGTGGAACTGTGGGGTTTAATGTGTGCCCTGTGGGATCTTGGATGTGCTTTTTTCCCATTCCTTTGTATCCCCTGTTTGTAACTCTGTAATGGAAATGTCTATCTGGTACCATTGAATACTGGATGTTTAACTGTCTTTTCATCTGTATAGGGGGTTGCAGCTAAGAGTTTGCTCATAAATCTCAGACAAGAGGAACTCAATGCCTTTTGCATAAAGGTATGGGCAAGAGTCTTTGGGGGAAGGACAGAGGTGTAAAGTTATGGTTTGTGTCTAGATGTCTCCACAAAGCCTCATGTGCTTATAGAGCTTTATCAAAAGATGCTGAATCGAGAGTGTGTGATGCTGAGATTTAGTGTGTGATTACAAAATCAGTCCACTGATGATTGGTTTGGCACCGCCCTAATCTGAAAAGTCAGGATGAGATAAAGGGGGCAGAAAGATGCTGTTAAGATCCCTTGGTGCTTTTGCTACCTCATAGCTGCCGTGAAACTTTCTTCTCTGTGAAACCTTATGTCAAGCCACACTGCCTTGGTACCAGCCAGTTAAGGACTGCAACCTGTACAAACGGTTAGCTAAATAAACCTTTCCCCGTTTAAATTCGGACACTGGTATTTTGACTGAGCAGCAAGAAAAAAGTAACTAACTCATTTGGTTATTCGTCTATTAGAATTTATTTTAAAGACTACAGGACCCATACTGTGGGTTAGCCACAATTCCATTCCCTGCTGCAAAGAAGAGGGGGAGAAAAAATAGTGATTTCTTGGAAGTCTACATCTGAGAAGTTGTTTCCTAAAAGTAAATCATTTAAGCATATAGTTGGTTAGAAAGATGAAATAATGAGTATCTCTTTTGACAACTTCCTGCTGTTATTTACTAATCTTCAGGTTTGAAGTTTTGCTTTATATGAGCACCTCCTTATATTGCTTCCCTGTCTTTCCTTTTAGGTTACATATAGTTGGTTTGATCCCATGCTGAGTGACAGTGGCCAGTTTCCTTCTCTCTATCAGGTGGCCCAAAAGGACACATCTTTGGCCCTTGGTATGGTCTCCCTGATGCTTCATTTCAGCTGGACCTGGGTAGGACTGGTCATCACAGAAGGTCCAAAAGGGCTTCAGTTCCTCTTAGAGGTGAGAGCAGAGATGGACAGGAGCGCAATCTGTGTAGCGTTTGTGAAAATGTTCTCAACTCCTCTTGCGTCCCATGCCTCATTTGGACAGCAATCAATTTATCCTGACCAGGGAGACATTGTCAGTAAACGTGGTTGTCATTTACTATGATACTGATGGTCTAAATGATGTAATATATAACATAGGACAGTATGTAGTGACATGAAAAGTCTGGGTGACAAACTCACAGTGGCAGGCTGATGTTACTGGAAGAAACTTCATACTGGGCTCATTCCAAGGGACCCTCATCTTTTCAATACATCATGAAGAGGTTTCTGGCTTTAAAAATTTTATCCAGGCAGCCAACCCTTCCAAATACCCAGAAGACACTTACCTTACTATGTATTGGTTCCAGAACTTTCATTGCTCTTTTTCTGACTCTGACTGTGCACTGGAGAACTGTACGCCCAATGCCTCTTTGGCATGGCTGCCTGTGAACCATTTTGACATGGCCATGAGCGATGAGAGTCACAATGTGTACAATGCTGTGTTCGCTGTGGCCCACGCCCTCCATGAGATGCTTATTCAACAAGATCAAATGCAACCATCTGGGAGTGGAGAACCGACGGCGTTTTTCTCCTGGCAGGTAATGAGTCTTCCATTGGTTGGCACAGGCTGTCATCAACATGTCTTAATTTATTCCACAGGTTCTGTATAGGAGAAGTTTAGGATATTTTCTCTAAAAGATAAAAGATTTTGCACCATACTCACTGTTAAGAAGACAAATGCTGAAGTGAGCAGAAATCATCATCAGCTAAGAATCTACTGGCAGGTGGATATTAGGAACTAGATATTAGGCAAGATTTTGCTTTGCCTGCCAACAATAACAATCCCATGCTCAGCTAGTGATTTCATTTTTTGAAAAATCTATGTATTTCTTCTGAGTTCTTAAAGGATATCAGGGTACACTTTAGTCACTCTTTAAAAATCTCAATCGTGCTAAAGTCTATAGTGGATACATTATATGAATTGTCTCACTTTTGGTCTTTGTAGCTTTATTTTCTAGATAGGTGCTGTGAAAAGAAGCAGAGAGAAAATGAGTGTTGGAAGCAGTGATTCAACAGTTGACTTGCGTTTAAAACATATGTAAACTGATTAAGTAGAGTTGGATGGAGTAGTTTCTCATGAAACCAAATGATATTTCAGGAACATTATGATACTTTAGTTCTTCATAAGCTTTTATATCTTATACTTCGTTTGATGCCAGTGTTAACATAATGCCAGTGTTTACATAATGAAAAAGAATTAAGGACAATGAAATTTTCTATCGTTCCTATTTTCTACATTAATTATGAAGCTCGATTCACCTCAGGATTTGTCTCTTTCAGCTGCATCACTTTCTTAAGAAAGTCCACTTTAACAATCCTGCTGGAGACCAAGTGACTTTGGATGACATAACCCAGGAGCATGCTGAGTACGACATTCTCAACTTCTGGAACATTCCAGAAGGCCTTAGACTTAAGGTCAAAGTAGGAACATTTTCCCCATGAGCTCCACTTGACCAACAAATGTCTTTCTCTGAGGAGATGGTGGAGTGGGCCACAGGGATTACAGAGGTGCATGGGAGCTACCAGGAGTCATAATGAATTTTATTCACTGCAAATAGCTAAAATATTGTTGAAGTGTTTGTGCCTACAATTTTGGTGATGAAACAGCCTTATATGGAATTTGAATGTTTTAAATTCCAATTCAAAGCACTATCTATTGATCGATGGGAAAGGAACCCATGTATAAATTTATGCTTTTATTAAAATGATGTTTCATTTTAGTAAATAAATATTCTACTAAATCATAACATTTTATTTCTTTATACAGTTGTCCTTGACTTACAAACTCAATTCATTCCCGAGGGTTGGTTGTAACTCATGTTCATCAGTGAAGGCTCAGACTCTGCTGCCTATCTTGTTAAAGTCTCTCTTCTACACACAGGCAGATCTCAGTGTCCTTAGAGAAACAATGGCCCAATAATTCTCAGTTAGCCCCATACCAGAAAGGATGTTTTAATGTTCCTTCTGGATTCATTAAGGTGAAATCTGTATCTGAGATCATCTGAAAGCACAATTGGCTGACATCTGAGTAAGTTAAAATCAAAATTCTGGTCATAACTCATAGTTGCATGTCAGGCCAGTTGTCTCTCACAGGTCCACTGTGTATACAAATTAATTTATCCATTGAGTTCTGAAGGAGTAATAACAATCTAGGAAGTTACCAAGCTATCTGATTGTCCTCAGACTCCCCACTCTGTATGCAGTGAGAGTTGCGGTCCTGGGTTTCAGAAATCTCCTCAGGAGGGAAAACCGACCTGTTGCTTTGATTGCACCACTTGCCCAGAGAATGAGATCACCAATGACACAGGTAAGACCTTGCCCAGTGGGCAGATTCTCTACCTCTATTGTATAGTTACTCCAAGCACCCAGGAAATGGAAAAAATCCATGTAGAGAATGTAATGAAATTCTTTCTTCCTTCAGAAATGTGTTCCTTTTACTCAGTACAATTACATCTTAAATACACTGTCTCTTGAACTATACTTTTCTTAATTTTTTTAACTATCTTCTATTGTTTCCTCCTCCTCCTCCTCTTCTTCCTCCTGTCCTTCCCTTTCTCCTCCTTTTTCTTCTCCTTCCACTTGGCAATGCTCAGGATTTAAAAGGAAGTAGGCTATCACTGAGCTGCATCTGAGCCATTTTTACTTACCTATTTTTAGACAGTCTCACTAAGTTGCCTCAGGCTGGCCTGAAATTTGTGATCGTCCTATCTCAGCCTACAGATAACTTGGCATTGCTGATATAAGCCACCACACCTGCCCAATTTGATTTATTTTTCTAATCCCATTGAATGCAGTATTTCCTCAATAAATTCCCATTTGACCCAAGCCATAGTTTCTAAGTTTTATCTCTATTATGAAAGTTAATGCAAAGTATTATTAGTACTCATTGTTTCTGTTCTCTGAAACTAAAGATACATCATATGGAAGAGAATTATCTAGCACATATTCACTTTCCCAGTGCATAGCACAGGTTTTGACACAAAGAAGGTGCTCAGAGAGATAATGTTTGGTGTGAACAGAGTTATTTGTTTGGTGGGCATCACTGAAGTTTGAACTAGATAGGTAGTATTTTATTGTTTTCTGAAAAAAAATGCCGTCATGAATATGCCAGATAGAGAATAAATAATGCTGTTCACTACAACATAAAGCATCGTATTATTGTCAGTTATTCTCTATATGCTTTTCCATTGTGTCTAGAAAGACAAAGGAAGAGCCAGGTATATGGGTCCATTCCCGCAATCCCAGCAATCCGGGGACCAGAGGCAGGAATACAAACTGGAGTGCAGCCTGGGGAATCTATTAACTTTAAAAGACCCTGTCATCAGGGACTTAGCCGAATGGTGTCACATCTGCTTGGCAAGTGCAAGGTCCTGAGTATGATCCCCTATACAAAAAAATGCCTTCTCAAAATGAACTCATTGTAAAGAGTTCATTCCCCAGGATGAAGGGAGAGAAAAAGGAAGAAAGGAAGGAACAAGTGAGGGAGAGAGAGGGAAAAAAGAAAAACCAAGGAGGGCAGATGGGTCAACAAGTCCAATAAGCTTCTGAGCCTGGGTCTGTGAATAAGGGAGAAATAGTAAACTTGACCTAATGAGTATTTGCATTTTTCACTATACATGGAGCAGTGTGTGAAGTGTGAGGATCAATACTATGCCAACATTCACCAAAATCAATGCCTTCCAGAAGTTATGACTTTCCTGGGTTATGAAGACCTCTTGGGGAAAACTTTAGCTCGCTCAGCCCTGAGTCTCACTGTCCTCACAGCTGCTGTTCTTGGGCTCTTTGTGAAGCACAGAGACACTCCCATTGTCAAGGCCAACAACAGGGCTCTCAGCTACACCCTGCTCATCTCCCTCACCTTCTGTTTCCTCTGCTCCTTGCTCTTCATTGGCCGGCCCAACACAGCCACCTGCATCCTAGGCAGACCACATTTGGAGTTGTGTTCACTGTGGCTGTTTCCACCATCCTGGCCAAAACGATCACCGTGGTGCTGGCCTTTAAGGTCACCGCTCCAGGCAGGAGGATGAGGCAGTGGCTGGTGTCAGGGGCACCTAACTCCAGCATCCCCATCTGCTCCCTGATCCAACTCACTCTCTGTGGAATCTGGATGGGGACGAATCCACCCTTCGTAGACACAGATGCACACTCGGAACATGGCCACATCATCATCGTGTGCAACAAGGGCTCCCTCTGGCCTTTAAGGTCACCGCTCCAGGCAGGAGGATGAGGCAGTGGCTGGTGTCAGGGGTATCTAACTCCAGCATCCCCATCTGCTCCCTGATCCAACTCACTCTCTGTGGAATCTGGATGGGGACGAATCCACCCTTCGTAGACACAGATGCACACTCGGAACATGGCCACATCATCATCGTGTGCAACAAGGGCTCCCTCACACTATTTCCTGGCCAGGAACCTGCCTGACACCTTCAATGAAGCCAAGTTCCTGACCTTCAGTATGCTGGTGTTCTGCAGTGTGTGGGTCACCTTCCTCCCCGTGTACCACAGCACCAAGGGGAAGGTCACGGTGGCCATGGAGGTCTTCTCCATCTTGGCCTCCAGTGCGGGGCTGCTGGGCTGCATCTTTGCACCCAAGTGCTATGTTATTTTGTTGAAGCCAGAGAAAAATGTTCTGTGTGAATTCAGGTACAGAGCACATTCTGGGAGAAAAAGAATTTAAGTTAAAAATATGTTTTTCCCAAATACATACAGTATCTGATGGAAATTTGCACCATTTTTATAGTCAGATATCAGAATAGAAGATGGAATTTACTTCAATGAACATTTGACTGTTAGTCTCTGACAGTTGTAAAGTTTCTACCATCTAAAGCAATTATCTTTGCACAATGACTTTTATTCTTGAATTTTTTCTTCTCATTAAATCTGCAGTCAACATCAATATTTGTGCCAAATTTTGCTTTATTTCTCACTTTTGTGTGTTTCCTTTGGTTTTCTCAATCATTTTTAGTAGTTCTATATGCTAATCTTTGACTGTAGACCACTATATTTCTGAATTACCAAATAAATTTATTGTGTTTTCTCTTCAACAAGTAACATGAGTTTATAATGCTTGTTTTACTATCTTCAAAACTCATTGTTTATTTCTCTCCTCACGTTGACAGTCAATGTATTGAAGCTATGCAGACCTTTCTGCCCTTGTGTGACTGCCTGGTAGTATGTTATAATAAATAATCTTCAGTGTCATAAAACCTGCCAGCATGTCACATCCTTTTCAGGACCGGGATTCTTAACACTTGGAAGAAACAACTTAGGAAAGGAAGAAGCAATTGAAGTTCAGGGGACAAAGAAAGAGCCAACAAGAAAGCTAGAAAATACAGAGAAATGGCAGAAAGTGAAGACAGCACAAAGAAAAGAAGGAAATAGGTTGCTATATTTACCTCCCTGGTGGGGCATACGCAGAAACAGAGTCATTCAGAGACAGACACAGACAGACAGACAGATGGATGAATGAACACACACACACACACACACACACACACACACACACACACATCTTCCTTTGGAAACACAAAGTAAGCATAGAGAAAATCAATGGACTGCGCTCTCAGTGTTACCCTCAAGAAAATCCCATGGTTTAATGTAAGTTGCTAATACACTGTGACGTTTTACTCTGAAAGTGACTCCTGCTTGTAGCACCCACCATATTTAAGATGAAATAAATGGAAGTTGTTTGGGGTGGGGGTTAATTATTTAAAATAAAGCTACAAGAGGAATCAAAAGCCACAGAAGACTTGCACTTCAGGGTTTCTAGGGCCACTGTGCCACAGTGACTGTTGTAGACAGGTCTACAAGAGACCATCCTGGAGATGGTGCAGGTTTCTCAGCCATCCCCAGTAGTACATGGTGGTCCTGTCCTATGCAGTGAAAAGCCAGTCCAGTCATGTGTGCTTTTCAGAACAGACTGGGTCTGAAAGTGTGGGCGTTCAGTCCAGTGGAATGCGGGGATCCACCCCCCATTGCCTCCATCTAACATGGAGCTGTTTTCTTTGCTGTCCTCACTTGTCAAAGTGATCAGTGACACACCTGAGCTTGAACTGTTGGCACAGCCAGGAAGGAGGCCTCTGGAGAAAAAGGGCACTTTCCAAGCTCACAGGCTGACAAGCTAGCTAGGGATCACAGTACATGGGGTTACCAGGGGCTCATGGACCCTGGAAGCCCCGACTGAATTCATTTAGGCATAGTTTGTATTTATTTTGGTTACAAGTAACAGAAAAACCAAACTGAATTTGGTGCAGTGAAAGCAGGTATATCTCGACACATATAAATTATCACACACACACACACACACACACACACACACTGTACAAGTCACGGAACTTTCCCTCTTTCGTTTCCCAGACTGTCTCATATGCTCATCCTTTATGCCTGAGTTTGCCATATACAAGTGATTCGAATCAACTGAAAAGACAGTAGTGTAGAGATGTTGTGTGTGCTTTGTAACTTTAGTGATAAGTCCCCATTGCTGTTAAAAATAAACTAAAACAGACTGCATAAAATATAAGGTTGTCTGAAGTTGAGAAAATACCATCAATATGCATATATGAGGAAAAAATATGTATACACCATATATATTGGATTCTAATAAAGAGTAGAAATAAAATTAATTCTACAATCAAACATTTTATAAGATATGATAAACAAATGGACAATAAATACACACAACATCATTAAACACAGAGAAACTTCCATTAACCCACTTGAATTGCTAACAAATGACAACTCCAACTCTTGCTGATGTGCATTAATTGGAACATTCCTGAAAGAAGAGAAAATACAACACCTGTGTCAGAGAGCACTTTGGCAGTTTTATTTAAAGTTGATCAGTATTTGGTGCCCTCCCCTGCCTGCATGCCACCAGCTCCAGCAAGGAAGGTGAGATTTGGGAAGGCCCGTCTGAGATCTGCTCTCCCTCCGGACTGCTTGGGCCCATTCAGCGGGGCCAGGTAGCTGCACTCTCCCCTGCCTGCACCACCACCATCCCCAGCAAGTAAGATAGCCACACAGGCGCCTCTGAAACACCCACCCCCACTCTCAGACCTCCTGATTGGGCCAGTCCTTGGACCATTCTTGAAAGGCATAGGTGGTCATAAAGGCTATCTTTCTGAGCTCCCAACTTTGAACATCTTTAAAGAAAGGGCAGGGAAACCTGTAGTAGAACTGTGTGGAGTTCAACCCTGCAGGAGATCATGGAACTCAATCTGGGCCTTTCGGCCTGAGGTCAGTCTGAGTCGGGGCAATCTGCCATCAGCTAGCTGAGATCAGGGGACTTGGTTCTGATCATGGCTGTGCACGTGGTATATTATGACAGCACAGATATACTCTGAAAGAGGCCCTTCAAATTCATTTTTCTTTCTTTTCTTCATTCCACTCTGCAAATTCTTTGTTTTTTCTGTCCTCTTTCTCCAACTGAGTCTTTTGCTCCACCGTATTATCCCTCATCTCCCTTTCTGTTCCTGCTCCTGCCCTATCTCAGACTTCTTCTTTTATCATTTTTTCTTTAGTAGTTTCAAGAAGTGAGCCCCTATTACTGTTAAGGGGATATATTCTTGTCCTTATTTTTGCACTGTCTATCCCTTTTGAAGTTAATAGTTTTGTAAAGATTGTATGATCATTCTATGTCCTCTGGCTTCCTTAAAACCTTCTCCAATTCTTTCACTTACCTACTCCTTTCATCCTACCTCTGTCTAAGCCCCCATCCTAAATGGTGAAGATGTTATACTGAAAAGTGTATTCACTGCAAACATATTTTGGGCTGCTTCTTGATTTTAATTTAATTCATATGGTTTAAAGGTGATAGATTAATGACTACAAGTGGTCCTATTGTGTTGCTGATTGTATCAATTGGGATGAAGGATTGTGATTCATTTAATGAGTTGTTTTCTCCAACATTATGCAAGTGAGAATGTCTATGAGTCATTAGAGACTCAAAAGCTAAAGCGCAACTATATCAGGAAGATTTATGATTTTAATTTAATTCATATGGTTTAAAGGTGATAGATTAATGACTACAAGTGGTCCTATTGTGTTGCTGATTGTATCAATTGGGATGAAGGATTGTGATTCATTTAATGAGTTGTTTTCTCCAACATTATGCAAGTGAGAATGTCTATGAGTCATTAGAGACTCAAAAGCTAAAGCGCAACTATATCAGGAAGATTTAAGTAATAACCCACAAATTAAACTAAGGACAACCCAACAACAAAAATAAAAATGAGAAAACACTTAAGCAAGACACAAAGACAGACCTCCAGTTCACCAATGGCAAACAGTAGGGCAAATGAGGATGAAAAGGCTGATAGTGAACCACCAGGACACCCTGAACTCAAAGCACAGGAACTAACAAAACAGATCAATCAGGCTCTAGAAAAGTTCAAAACAGAAATAATTTCCCAGATAACCATAGAGATAGTGAGCAAAATGGAAGTCGTGATTCAAGACTGTAGAGCAGAAACTGACAAAAAAATAGATGAACTCAGGACCATGATAGAAGCCATGAAGGCCCAGCATAAGAAAGAAATGGAAAAAATAAACGCGCAACATAGGAAAGAAATGGAATCCATAAAACAGATTCAAACAGATATCCAGATTAAAAACTCTACTGAAAGTGTACACAACAGAATAAAAGAATGTGAAGATAGAATCTCAGATATAGAAGATAGGATTGCAGATATAGAAGACAGGTCTCTTAAAAACAGTAGGGGATCATGAGAAATCGATCCAGCAACTCCTAGATGATGCAAAGAAGAATAACATAAGACTGAGAGGAATCCATGAAGTAGCAGGAGAAAATACAAATGACTTAAAAAAGCTGTTCATGGAATTAATGACAGAAAACTTCCCAAACAGAAAGGAAGAATTAGACATACAGATAAGTGAGGCATATAGGACCCCAACTAGCCATAATCAAAATAATCTACACCTAGACATACAATAATCAAGCTCCCAGAAACCCAACAGAAGAACAAAATACTACAAACAGTAAGAGAAAATAAACAAATCACATGCAAAGGAAAGCCCATCAGAATCACAGCAGACTTTTCAACACAACCCCTCAGGTCAAGAAGAGCCTGGAGTGAGGTATTTCAAGTCCTAAAAGAAAACAACCTCCAAACTAGACTGATGTATCCTGCAAAACTCTGTTTCAAAATGGATGAGGAGGGCTGGGGATTTAGCTCAGTGGTTCAGTGGCCTGCCTTGCAAGCGCAAGGACCTGAGTTCAATCCCCAGTACCAAACAAAACAAAACAAAAGCAACAACAACAAAGTGGATGGGGAAATAAGATACTTCCATGACAAAGAATACCTGAGAAACTTCATGAACACCAAACCAGCACTACAAGGAATTCTAAACAATACCCTAGAAAAAGACAATGAAGGTCACAACACCATAAGGCTCAACAGAGCAAATCAAATAGGCAAGGCAAGAAACTAAAAGGAGAGGGGGGAAAAGTAAAGAGTCAACAAAAGGACAATAACATGACAATAATAAGTCAGTACATATCAGTCATAACTATCAATGTCATTGGCCTCAATTCCCCAATCAAGAGAAATGGACTGGCAGAATGGATTAAGAAGCAAAATCCAACAGTATGTTGTATACAAGAAACACACCTAGTGCAAGCTAATGCGGGTAGGGTTATTTCAACCACATTATTAAATT